CGATAGACGCACAGTTTGGTTTTCTCCGTTAGCTTGGTGTTTTGCCAGACCCGTTTATTTAGTTTAGCCATTGTGGCAGCTGCCTTGCCGATTCTGCTGTTAATTTTTTCTTCAATGGACAGTGTATTGGAGGCTAATCATAATGCCATTATTATCCACTTTTAGAATTTAGTGAAGTCTCCCTGAAGTACTACCTGAAGAAGGCTACAGCCTAGATAAACCTACTATAAATTATTAGAAAAAGTAATACTAGTAATTAGTAATAGTAGACCTTCTTAACTCTATGCCTAACTCTAATCATCATTTAATAATTATTATGGCGTGGCAGTTTTAATTTTACCTTTTTGATTAATTGGCTGCGGTTATGCCGACCAGGATTCAGACCCGGAAAAGACTTAAAATAGTGATAGGTTGGGTTGTTAAGTCTGAAGGGACCGGGGTCCGAATGAATATACTAATTAATATATTATAATATAATAATAGCGTTAACTTTATAACTTATTTTAAGAAATTGATCTCCTCTTATTTTTTACACACGTGATGATGGAGTGGTGGTTACGGATTAATTTAAAAGGTAGAACTTCTAAAATAAGGCCTGAATTCTTAAAGTGAAATAATAATTAGTCGTACTCCTAGCCTACTATTATACTATTCATCCCACCTTTTCCCGTATAAATAAACAGAAGTACGGTAATACCGTAACTCGTCAAATTGGTTGTTTTATTTTTAATTATTATGTTATATATGCCGCATTAGTTTGTCTGCTAGGCCAGTGGTCGGAAAACTCATTAGTCAAAAGAACCAAAAAATCATCAGCAGGGCGATAAAAATAAATTTGAGAGCCAAATTTCTTTTCAAGAACCATGTTTTCGGAGTCAAAACTGTGATATGTGGCCGAATAGCCGAGCCACACTCAGTTAGCTAAAGAGCCGCATGCGGCTCATGAGCCGCGATCTTCCGACCACTGTGCTAGACTGCCTAGACTAAGGGCTGAGGGGTCTATAGCCTATACGCTATAATTTAATTAATTCACGAAATAAATATTTTCTAAACCTAGCCGAGATTTACCACAAATGTAAATGTAAATGAGTGTGTGGAAAATGGAAGGCTTTACTTTTGCTTTCCTTTTTTGTATTGTAAGAATTTTAACTTAGTTAATTAAGAAGTTTAAGTTAGTTTGTGTAAATTTGTTGTGATTGCATTTGTTTAAAGTCTTAGTAGTAGTAGGTCTACACCTATAAATAATTTATAATATTTTATAATAATATGATTTTAAAAATTAAAAATAAAATACTTTGACTACAGACTTAAAAATAAAACATAAATAAAAATGATTAGATCTATTTCAATTTAGGATAACTATAACTATAATATTAATAATAGTATAATAATAAAAGTAATGTAATTTCAGTAACATTTCAATTGTTTTGTTAGATTCATTAATTTTTTTTAATCATAGGTGTAAAATATGTGTTTGTTTTGAGTTCATTAAGTGAGTGAGTTAAAGGGAATTACTTTTACAGATATAACTGTAACACACACATGTCCTGACATCATTATCATTGTAACTTATTTCTTAGGCTGTGGGTTATGTCAGTAGCATGGTTACTTGGTTTAAGTTAGTAATTCAGGATACCGGCTAAGACTTCATCGTTCTTCCTCTTGTTATACAGGCACGCAAATAAGAATACTGAATCCTGGTTAAACTGACAGTACTTTATAAAATCACAATTTACACAGATAATATTAATAATAATCCTTGCATGAATGTAATCATTTCACATATATATGTATAATATTCCATCACTCAGAAAGACACGTCCTCACACTGCTATAACTCAGCTCAACTGTACTACATCTCAACTCTAACTCAACTCCGACTAACTCTGACTCTCCTTGCGCTCAGCTCTCACTATCTCAGTCAACTCATACTTTATTACCAGCAAAGCGTGGAAAACAACCGCTCTGACAAAAACATAATTTTACTCTCCAAAAACGTGGAGCTCACATTGTCCTCTCAAAATACAATTCATTGTCCCCGTGGACAAAACATGGTCAACACCATTCACTGTTCACTCATGCTACCTCTCTGTTTTCATGTGAAAACATTGTCCGTTACATTATACAATTCATTGTCCCCGTGAACAAAACATGGTCAAAACCATTCACTGTTCACTAATGCTACCTCTCTGTTTTCATGTGAAAACATTGTCCGTTACAATAACTTTTAACCTTACAAAAATAGCATTACTACCACAATTTTAAGAGCACAAAAAAAAAAAAAAAAACTTTAAAAAATGAAAATACTAGAAAAAATTTGAGGTAGGCCTACCTAATGAAATGGCATCAGACAAAATTTAAAATTTATGCCAAATGCATTATTAGCTAAAACTAAAACTTCTTAAATTAGTTTATTTTTGTTTACCCGATAATTAATGATATACTGTTTTAATTATTGACACAAATTGCGTATCATTAAAATAGTAATGTCTCTATTGATATTACCAAACCATGTTTTGTATCAGTCTCCAGTTGACTTAAAATTCTAGCCAAAGTATCATAATCACGGGTTCCCAAAATGTGCGCAGCGTCACCCTGAAGAAACATGTGGGGGAGTCATGGTTTCCCCAAAGTGTGACCACAAAAACATAATTTAAATAATTTTATTTCCGCTTTTAATCTAATGTGACATTTAGCTGGTCTGGTGCAAACCAGTAACTCACTTGAGTAATTATTGTTAGCAGTCACTATATGGTGCTAGGTGACCAACATAATACATGTTATATTTAATTTTACCCAACTCTTTAATTTTAATTTTTTAAAAATAATCTCTATTTTGAGGCAGCCTACATTTTTTAGAATTTAACTTGACACAGGGTGTCTGGGGAAAGTCTACATTTGGCAATGTCGCCGGTTATAGAAAAATTTTAAGAGCCAATGATGCATCCATGGAAAAAGATAAGTCCAACACACGTGAAACCTACAAATGATGGGAACGGTGGAGTGATGTATAGTACATTTTGACGATAATCAGAAAACATTGCGTGATATTTTTACAATGATTGGAGACGTAAATAGGTTATTTTTGGACAGTCAGAATTTCAGGATAAATATTTCAGAATTTGTTAATAAATGTAAGAACTTTCTACCTCTCCCTGCAAACATCTACAAAAAAAAAAAACCCCCCCCCCCCCCCCCCCCTTTCAAGGCGTATGTACTATATTCATTGGAGGTGTAACAAAGGGGGTAGAGGTAACATCCCCCGGGTGCATAAACTAGTAGGGTGAAAAAATGGGCTTGATGAAAATAATTGGGTGGGGGTGTAAATGAATATTTCTCCAAACTCCAAATATTCGAGCTAAGCCTCTGATATGGATAGCCCCCTAGTGGGAAGGATAGGTAGTTGTTGGGCATCTATTTATCTAACCATCTATTTAAAAAAAATAAAAAAATTAACAACTGTTATTGGTTCAAATTGTTTATTTAATCTACAATCCTGCAGAAGATCATCCCAATCCATTACATTGGTGGAAAAAACATACTTTAAAAAAAAATTACTTTAAAGCAGAGCTTTCACATGGACCCTGTAGCCCCTGCTATCATGATACTGAGATATACCGGTATCTATTGTGATAATGAGATATATCTATCATGATACTGATATATAACTATCACATTTTTTTAGCATTTTAAGTTAAACAGGGAGGTAGCTTATATCAGTAGAAAGCCATTAAATCTATTTTCAAGTTGATGTGGAGTTCATGGTTTAAGTTTAGATAGTAAAATTATACCAAACAATTTGTTTAAATAAAGTGCAAATTAATATCAATAAATCAATAAATAAATATGTATATCAGTACATTTGAGACAAAATTAAAACAATATAACATATCAAATCTAATTAAATTGAGTATTTCTTTACAAATCTGGCCAGTATATGACCATGATCATCAACATTGAAATTCATGCAATAAAAGTTACATATTTATTTCCGTACATGGAACAACATGCAAATTAATAAATATATAATCAATAAATAAATACGTATATCGGTACATTTGAGAGGAAATTAAAACAATATAACATATCAAGTCGGATTAAATTTATTATTTCTTGACAAACCTGGTCAATATATGACCTTGACCATTTGAATTCATGCCATAAAAGTTCAATATTTATTTCCGTGCATGGAAAAACATGCAAATGAAAAAACAAGTTTAATAAAACTAAAATGAAGGACCATATAAATTTATAAACATAAATATGACCATTTCTTAGGAACAAAAACACTGCAAAATTCTGAAACAATTATTTGTTCCTCTGAGATGGTCATAAATAGTCATATTCTTACATCAACATAAAAGCAATCACATTTTTCGTAAGCCAATTTTTCCAATTAAAGATTAATTCTACTTACCTTTAACACAACCCGTAGAGCATAAGGGGTACCAGTACTGGTAAAGATGGTAGTTTCTGAGTTATCAGGTACATCTTAAAAGATGCATTTGTGTTACAGTCTTACTGCACACATGGGATAAAAATCATGGACACATCCTTTCCTTTGATTGGAATAATCAGTTTAATACTTTAATAACCCTAGAATTTAATTTTTAAAAGAGGTAAAGTACTTTGGCAATGTATACAATAATTTGGGAGGTAAATGCTTGGGGAGTAAATAAGTGAAAGTTAAAATTAAAATTGCTAGCTTTCAAACTTGAAAACTGAGTCAAGGCACAAAGCATAAATGTCAAAAGAATTTACAGTTAAAATCTGTCGGGTGTAAAAAAAAAAAAAATGTACATTGATGCTGAGAAATGAACAAGAAATGCTTTTCTAAAAAATCATTCATTTACATTAATAATAATATACTTAATAGATTTTATTTTAAAAAATCAAGAAATAATAATAATTGTACATTATAACATTTTTTAGGAGTTTATTACTCATACACATAAATTGAATCATAAATGAATTGGTTAATTTTAGTTGTCTTAACTAGGCACAGCGATACAATAAATGTTATCTGTAAATGTAAATTCCTGTATCTTTGTTTGTCCTTTTCATTGACCAACTTTCTTGGATTGTACTGGCATGGGCCCAAGTGCATGGCCCCAGTTATAGAATGTGTAAACTGGTGCATACTCCATGTTACCTCTGGTATGCTCGTCATCTCCTGTGTCACAGGTGTTGTAGCGTCCAGTGATGCACTCATTGTAAGAGGGTGGAGCTGTAACAAAGAAGATGGGTCCATTAGTGTGACTATCTTGAGTTGGGGGGGTAGGGGTGGGGTGTTATCTCTGTGTGATGGGATATGTAAACAAAATAAATTGTCAAGAGTTATACTTTCATATTTATTTGAGGATATTCCCAAAAATAGTGATTGCTTTATATTTGAAGATGATAACATTTCATAGAGGCAACTTTATATGAACAAATGTTGGACTAAGCAGTTTCTAGGTTGCTTCTCTCAAACCTGCAAGAAGTCTGGACCGACAAATTTCATTACCGGTATATCCATTGATAAAGAGGTGATAGGCAGGATCACTAAGTTACCATCTATAGCCAGACTGAGCAAGCAAGTGCACAACAACCTTAAATTCATAGAAAGCACCAAACTGCATATATATCAGGCATAAGGGCCTAAAATGGTCCCCAACAGCTGTCACGCTTGAAACATTTACAGAAGAGGAAGCTCAATAGGTTTCACCTTAGATCTCAGAGGCACATTCTGAGGATTTGACGACAGGACAAAGTGCCTAACACAGAGTTCTGGAATGTGCAGCATGTTCTCCACTCTAACTAGTTCTAGATAATGATCACATCCCAAAGGAACTATTGTTCATAGAATTGGCATAATGGCAAGGCATACTGGACAGCTAGCATCCACAAAAGCGACCGAAAGAGTTATTGGTGAACTGTTCCAGGGTAAGAAAAAACATTCAAAAATAATTATTTGCTGTCCCTTTCTGGTGTAAAAGTAATACAAGAAACTATACAAAATAGGCTTGCAGAAAATTTTCTATACTGCTTGTAAATTTTGAAAGATAACTTTGAAATAAAATTTGAGAAGCAGTGCTGAGGACCACCTCTTTGAGAAATACTGGTTTAGAGAATTCATCAGGAAAGGGAAAAGCAGTGAAAATAGCTAGATTTGTGCCCAGTAGAAGGACCCACAAAGGCATTTGCTATGAAAATTGGTATTACAGTCAAGAGTGCCCAAGTTTGCAGTATTCAGCAGGACAATGCCTTCAGTGCAAAATTTACATTCACTATGAAACATAAAATTCTAGCCATAAATTCGATAATCATCCCAATTGTCTTTTGGAAAGAAAGAGAAAGAACCTGACTGAAGTGTTTCTAAAAAAAAACAGGAGCAAAGATATTATATTGAAAATAAAGGCTTGCAAAGATGGAGAGACAAGAGGAAAAGGATCTACTTACGCAAATTAGGCAGGCCACTTGGTGGTAGGGGATATAACTTTCCACCAGGGGGAGCTGTGGGATTACTCTCCCATTCATACATGTTGCCACTATTGTAACCAACTGGAAGCATTGGTGGATGCTGATCAATTACAGATCTTAGAGGTACAGTACCAATAATAATATCTAAAGGTATCTTAAAATCAGTGGCAGGTCCAGATGGTTCCAAATAAAGCTAGGGATAAAAATAAATAAAGTTGTTGTCAAGGCTTACCTTTTTAAATGGAAAATCAGGATTTAAAAACTTAAAATTCAGGATATGATGAAATACAGGCCTTTTTAAAATGTTAAGAACTCTAAATGTAGATCATATTGCCCTTAAATGAAAATGGAGGTCTAAAACATTCATCATAAAACTGATAATTTTGAACATAAAGCTTAAAAATACCTTATTAAACGTCTTATTATTCCTGAAAAGGCATCACACAGTAATGACACAAAAACACTATTCACTATAAAAGGAAGATATTTACAAAAATAAATGAGCTCTCAGTTAACGTGGTAATCAGTTTCAATAAAATGATAATTTATGTGATGCTGTTTTAGTGTCCTGAAAAAGCCACATCTGTGCACGGGAAATGTTTTGAAATATAACAGAGCATTTATATAAAAATAAATGAGACTAAAAAATACCATACTTTGTTTCTTGTAAAAAATTTCTACAGAAAATACTCTCCCTTTTTTTTAATAAATGGACCTGGACTTTTGTTGAGCTTGATAAGCAGCACATTCTAATATTTTTTCAGCACTAAGCTGAGCATTTAATATGATGCAGGCATTCTTAAAATATGATCCCAAACTATTGAAACTTGTCATACAGTATGCTGTGCAGAAGTGTAGATAAGCACTTAATGAAGCTTCTGGATTTGAATTGAATGTTGATGAAATTAAAGAATGTTTTATTTTTATTAATTTTTGAAAATATTTTCTGCACCGCCTTTCTTTGCGTAATGCATTTAAAGAAATTTTTTATCATTTTCTACTTTTTAGTACATTTTAAATCGTCTTTGATCGAAAGCCATTTTTAAAAAGTTTTGTTACTATTTTTATTTCTGTTTTTTAATATTAAATTTTAACCTTTAAATTATGGATAAAGGATTATTAACTTTTTTAAACATCAAATGCTTACAAAATCCTGGGTAAATTGACTTAACTCTTTACCTAGGCATAAAACTAAAAAGTGGATCTAAGCTCACCCACCCATCAATTTACTAAACAAAGCAGACACTGCCAACCCTGATAATTTGAGTGACTGTGTCAACCCGCCTCTGTCTACCCAGTATTCTTTTCCGTATGTCACTAGGTGAACACTAAAATGACAGGTGTGCAAACAAAAAAAAAAACACTCCACAAGATGGATATAAGAGTAGAGAGAAAGTCTGTAACTAAAGGTGTACCTTATTTTATGTCACTAAAGGTCATTTATTGAAATGTTAAAAAAATTATGTTTCCATTTTTTTTCTCTAATTTACCTCACCATGGCTTGCCAAACAAGGTTACCAACCTCTGCACTGAATAAAAATATAATATAATGTCTATTTAGTTGTTCTTACCTGTAAAATATAACGTATGTCAATTAGTTTGCAACCATCAAGGAAAGATGGTGGTAATGGTGGAATTATCAACTGTTCTCCTGTCCAGAAGTCGTTGCCATGACCCACAATCCCTGGTCTAGTAACCCGAGCCACTTCAGTTTTCCAGGTCTTTGACCTTTGCCTAACGTGAAATGTTGTTACCTTCACAGAGTAAATAAGATATGACAATGTCATCAATCATCATTTAAATAATATAATTTTATAATTTATTTTCACCGCAAAAACAATATGTTTGAAGATTTAAAAGCAATAAGAAATTAACCACAAATGCGTCCAAAAAAAGATTATTAGTTCTTCAAAAACATTTTTTTTATATTATAGAATACTGTAAATAATACTGATAAAGTTTTTTGGAAAAAAATGGTTAAATGTATAGTGTAACCCCAAGCCCAAACACAATAGCAGTGGTAAAGTCATGCCAGAGATCTGCCCATTTTCATTTGCATGTCAGCAAAGGCAGCCCTGGTTAAAAAAGGGACAGTAAAACTTTAGTTATTTTAAAATTTGCTTTAGATAACATGAAACAGTTATGTAACTATCTAATTAAAAACAACCTAACAATGACTCATTTGTTGTACCATACAACCAGAAGAAACAATACATGTTCAACAAATGAGCCAAATCGTAAAACAGATTCAATTTGAAAAACCATAAAATGGTTTGTAACATAAAGCTTAAAACACTATCACTGTCATTATGATGCATTTTGCAAAAGTGCTCTGATACAATTTATTTTACAGCTATAGCTTGGACATTTTATAAAATGATGCACATGAAATAGGTGTGACATACTGTACCAAATGGATTTTTAAAAAAATATAGTTATGTGAAGAGAAAGGTAAATAATTCATTGGATCATATTGGAATGGGTAAAATGTGAGACACAGATTAAATAACAAATCATTATTTCTAAACCATAGAACTAGTATGGTTAAACTGATACCCATAGTGTAGAAGCAAGATTTTCACATTTTTGTAATGATCATCATGTTATCATCACTTTGGTTTCTGACACATCTTAGCTGATCATGATAGTAAAGTGGACAATTTACATTTTTTTAAAATATGGCAGAAAATAATCACCATTTCCAGAGCTATGTATGATTGTTTAATTCTCCTACTTGATCCGTTGCTGATTTCAGCATGCAGCTTCACTGCCTCTCCTGGAACATAACCACTTCTTTCAATGTGGAAATTTGCCTCAATTGGGGCTGATTTACAACAAAGGCAGCAAAAGCGTTTCTGTTTTGTTCCTTGAAGTCGTGCCTATATAGAGAATACAAGATGAAAACTGACAAAAAGCTTTATTGCTTTTATAGGTTATATTTGCTCTATTTTAGGGATCTACATGTCAGAAATGTGGGGATTATTGGGCTGTAGTCTGACAAGAAGAAACATACACACACTACCTACTCAGTGAAGTGTCCTAGCACAAGCTGCCGTTTCAGCTTTAAATTAGAGTAGTGCTGGTTCAGAAGAAAGTAATTCTCAGGCAATGCAATAATGTAGTACAATGAGTATGAGGAATGCTGTTGCCTAAAGATCTAAGGACATATGATGATAACCCAGAGTAGCAGAGACCTATTTAACTCACTATTGCTTGTAGCCATGTGTCCCCTTAAGTGGAAGGAGTTAAAAGATAGTTAATATTTCCACACCAAACCTTTGGAAGCTTAGTACGGATCACCATTCCCATCCAGACCTGAATCGTACTTAGGCATGCATTGGAAGTTGGCGGAATGGTATGACTAATGGGGCATAAATAATAAGGCTCAGGCTGCTGTTTGCTAAAAGAGAAGGGTGTTCCAAATACTTTGTAACAACTTTCTAAACTATTACTATTATCTTAATTTGGGTGATGCTAGTGTATATATATACACACAGGGTGGGCCAATAAAAATGAGAGAACATCTCGTAAAATATTACACTACGAGATGTTCTCACTTTTATTGGCCCACCCTTTATATACATATATATATATATATATATATAAGCATGTATGTGTTTGGTTTGGTTATGTCATTCACATGCTTATAACATATCTATGTTCACAGAATGCTACTGAGCTAACATTTGGTACACAGAGGGGCTTTTTAATCTATCAATCAACTCTTAAATCCTTTTATAGCCTGTGTTGAACTGTAGGGTCCTACTTTACTTAACTTAATGACTTTCAGTATTTTATTTAACTTTGACTACTGACAAATGTTAATTATTATGAAAATAATCCTGAAAATTCATGTTTGGATTATTTTGTTCAAATCTCAAGCTTGAATATGTTAACATAACTTAAGTAAATAACATTAATGCTTAGAAGTAATAGAAGCAATAACTGTTTAAAAATGTTTACCATGACATTAGGTTGCTGGTTCAGATCTAATATACTGATGATTGAGAAGACCTGCTTGGCCTTCAGATCAAAATAGTCATGCTTCAATAGATCAAGTGCATCAATTGTGCTTCTTATAGTATATCTAACATGGCCGATTTGTTCCTCAAATGAAGAAGGAAGGCCTTTTGGTAGCTGAAACTCAAAAGGAAATGTGTGCTTTCCAGTATGTAGTTCTCTGGTGCCACTGCCTTGTCCTGGCCCTAAAAGTTAACAAAGGGAAGGAAATAACATTGCTAACAATAAAAAATATTTTAAAACTAAAAAGTCCATGAGTATATGGTGTAAATACTTTTACTATCAAATTATTCGAGCATAACAGAGATGTGCACAAAGTTATTAGACTGATGGTTTAAAATTATTTTTATGAAGGGGAAGAAATAATTAATGATAAAAATTGTGTTTTATTGAAAAGCTCATTAAAACAACACATACCAAATAACAGCTGTTAGAAATATGCTTAATTGAGCGCTCATCATCAAAGTTTAAAATACCCGTTTACTTACATATTCCAAATAACAGAGCGTCCTGGTCAAAGTATTTCTCTTCATCAGTAAAAGTGTAATGAGTTGTGCGACGATTTTGACCAGAGCCGCTACTCTGACTTTCAGTCCATCTTACATACGCTTTACCCTCAAATGATACCTTTATTCCTTTACAAAACAAATGGAGTTACCAAAAAAAACTTAAATGGTTTAGAATCTATTCTGTAGCTATAGTTTACTATCTAAAATTTAAAATATAATGTGAAACCATCAATCAAAGAAATGTTTAAAGATTAAAAGAAAAGTATTTCAAAGGAATTCTGTAAAACCAAACGCATCATTTTTATACAGGGTGGGCCAATAAAAGTGAGTAGCATATGAGTTATTTCAAAATATAATTTAATTAATTATAGTTCTTCATGGAATTTTTTTTTGCAAAATATTTAGCCAATCAGAAATCATGTTCAATGTGTCCTCCTTGCTTCTCAACGACATTTTCCAAGCGTCAACGCCACTCGTTTATGCTTCTGTCAATGAAATGTTGCCCTAGATTTTACTATATGTTCTCCCTTTTATTGGCCCATCCTGTAATTCCTAAAAAGAACAAACCATCTTTTTCAAATGGATTTAATGGAGATTTTTTTAACTTTAATTTTTAAATTGTTTACAAACCCCTTGTTTTAAGTGGCTCAGTCAATTCCACGCTGACATAACCTTGAATATTTTCACCACTATAAAAAACACCACTTCCATTGTTAAACAAAATCTCAAAGGCTGATATATTTTGTTTCCCCATAATAGTTTTGAGAACCTAAAGCTTAATGAAAGAAAAAAAGTAATTACAATACCATAAAGTTATAAATATAAAGATTGCACAAAGGCAATGTAGATTGAAAATTATCATTCAGAAAAGAAAAAATAAATATGTTGAAAATAAAATGAATTAAGCAATGAAAAGATCATGAAAGAAGCAATCATTAAATTTTCAAATGATACCAACATCATTGGCTTAATATCTGAAGGGGAAGCTCATACCATAACTTTATCACAATTACAAGCTTTGTCAGTTGGTGCGATGAAAATTTTCTTCACTTGAATGTCTAAAAAAAATAAAAGAAATCATTGTCAATTTATGGAGGGGGAATCACCCAATTGCCGATCTCACAATTAAAAAACCAGTCTAGAGCAACTTGAGACATATAAGTAGTTTGGTGTCACCATTAATAATAAGCTAGCATAGCATGAACACTGCAAAATTCTGTATAACAAGTCAACCAAAGATTTTTCTAGATTAAGAAATTGTAGAATTTTGGCTTAAACAATTTATAAACTTATTCTACATTTCAATAATTGGAACCCCACAAAACTTCAGTACTACCTGCTTGTGTGGGAATTCATCGTCTGATATCTAACACTGATTAAATAAACTATTAAAGAAATCTAGAAATATCCACACATACTCAACATCGTGCACTTGATGTACTGTTTGAAGAAAAACGCTGCTGTAAAACTAAGAAAAGTTTGGTTGATACATCCCACCCTTCATCACAAATACCCAAGATCAGCTCGATCAGGGCGAATTCTTTATCTTAAAGTTAGGACCATAAGGACCATAAGATATAAAAATTCTTTTGTTTCCCAATTATTTGGATCAATAAAAGAATATTATCTTATTAGCAATTATTTATTCATTGTAATATTTATTCTTCAACAAGTAATACCAGTGGTAAGAGTTTATAAAAGAAAGATATACAAGTACATTATTTCTACTTATTACATTCCTGCTGCTAAACACTGAATATTATTGTAAATCATGGGCTATAATAATTTATAGAACTATTAGTAAATTTTAGTTATTCATTTCAATGTTTAATAATAAAAAAATCTGTTCAGCAGGTTGCTTTAAATTGTTTTGTTAAAATTTCAAATGAGTGTTCTTGCATTGATTTAATACAGCCAAATAGGACTTGATATAATTTAGTTCAAAGTATATACTGGGCTTATTCCAATGACAATATTCACATAAATTGAGTGTATCAAATAAAAAGAAAAACAAAACCCTAATTATTTAATGAATGACTATACCAGTGGTTTTAACACACAAAAATTGAGCAAATAACAAAGACATTTAAATCAGATGCAATGTAATCTTTGCTGGGAAGTCTTTATATGGTTTTGAAAGATGTTGAATTTTAAAAAGGAAAATAAAAAACATGTGGCACAAAATGGATTAAAATGTATAAGCGTTTGAGACAAGATATTGATAGCAGAAATTTTTAAGTCATTTTCAAGAGACAATCATTGACAATGGCATAGTTTTCTGTCTGCATCTCAGAGATTGGCTCAATACACTGACCCTGGAGTGGTAGTTTCTCTGCAATTTCTGAGGTTGAATATATTGGTTTGTTCTTAAACCTTATAATAGGCTTTTTTTTTTCCCAGAAAAATTTGCATTTCACACCTACTTATTAAGACTGCACATAGAGCAATTCATGCATGAAAATCTTTATGACAGTGTCTTGTACAGTTTGCCCTCAATTCTGGAATGAACGTACACCACATTAGCAGTCTTTGAAAGGAAAAATAATAGAGAGAAATGAAGAAGTTGGCAAAATGCATTGGTGCTAGAATATTATACATCCTGGGCATTTTTTATGTTCAAGCACACTTGAATGTGCATGGTAGCATGGCCGGCACTCCTTCGAATGCCGGTCACAAATATCAAATAGTATACTTTTCATTAGAAAAGGCTACCAGCATTATAGTCGCCGAGAATTAGTGACATAATTATTTATGTCTACAATTCTAAATAAATTGAGTTGTCTTGCAGACTAATAATGGCTTGTAATAATATAAAATACACAGTAAAATGGCTGGCAGACTGCAACCCCTGGTTTATATTGCAAATAATGTTTAGCCAAGAAAATTCTGAAGGCACTGTCTAACAGCACGAATGACAGCATGCTTTGACTAGTCAGGCTTGCTGAACATTGTCTAATACAAAAAAGCAATAACTGTGGTAAATGTTAACTTCCCATGTCTTTAGTCCAACATGCTGTATCACCTGTTGGTTACTCATTGAAATGCCATCTGCATTATATTATATGCACCGGGTCATTTTTTGCAAACTGTGGGCTCAGCAAACAGAAAATCATCATGATGATATTGTATTGAATTTGCGAAGTGAAATGCAAGCATGTTAATAAATTTTAAGCTTTTTAAAAGCATTGAAAATTGGGACACAATATGATTGTTAAACTTTTTCCAAAACTGAGTGTCGCTATTCATTTCAAGTTCAACTTGGAGGCTATGATGCCAATGCACAACATATTTACGTTGCGGTTGATAAAACATATTACTATTATTTCTTTTATCTGAAATATCATTGTGGTTGTTGCTGGTGTGGCTCTTGGGTTGTTGGAATTATTGCATGTGTTACTGGTCGATCAAGGTTGAAAATAGGCGCGCTGAGAAATTCAACAGCACTTGAATGCATAATAATTGATCATGTACGTCCAGGAAGTGTCACTCTCCCCTTATTACCCTAGTATTTTGTCTCTATTATAAAAAGATTAGAATTATTATTTATATATTATGTTCAATATGATTATGAATAATGGAATATGTGTAGGCCAACTCAAGTCAAATCTCAATTGTCAATACTGATAGGTTACTCAACACTGTGACTTAATAAGTTATTGTAATAGTAATTTGAATAGGCTAATATTATTGTTAGAAAATTTGGTAATTACAAAGAAGAGATGCCATGACGTCATTTGCGTGATTATTATAAGTTACTGTGTAGGAGTTACTTCCCTTTGTTTATTTTTAGAGAATTATTTTTAATTTATTAGTATTCATATGCAGATGGCATATTTTGTATTAAAATTTTATTGGTTGATTAATTATAATTTTTCCTTATATTTGAAAATGGAATTGACAATGAATGTATATTATTGTATTTGATTCATTTCTGGATATTCTTTTTGGTGGAACCTGAAATAAAGTGTGTATGTATCGTCTACGAAATTTATTTCGATCGAATTTCAGGATACGTATTTTCCTATTCACCTTTCTTTCGGTAAGTAGTTGAATTAACACATTCTCTCCCTTTTTTAATCATTATCTGAAGGTGTTTTGCACTACTTTATTTGTTCTTACGGGTCGTGTCAACCAAGATGGCGGCCATGGGGCATGACATCTCTTCTTCTTCTTCTATATCTTAAGGGCCCACGATCAATTTGTTGATCATTTTGGCTCCTATATGCATCTCTTCTTTGCATTCAGCGAAAATTTGAATCCACAAGAAAACTACTTAATATTTTAAATTTTAATTATAAAAGGCAAATGGTCAAATGGGGTGAATGAAAATAAAATGATTTTGACTGACAGGTCCATCTTTTTAATTTTATTTTAATTGTTAAGGCAAAAACTCACCGAGCCGAACAAACACTCACTAAACTCACTTAAAACAGTAACACCTTCCTTAGTAGGTGTGCACGGTAGTCCCAATCGTCACCACTAACATTGCTGTTTGTTAAGTGTTTTTGAGCATCACAAAGTCATTGTATTATTAAAATTTGTATAGTAGCAGTATTAAGTGCACGCATTCCTATCCGTATCATGTCAACTATGACTATGAGACTGAGATGTACTTTCTGCACTTTTTGTTTACTAGTACTGCTAACAATACTAACATATTTGCCTTGAACTTGGTGGGAAAGCTGCCAAGTAGGCTACTTGTACTCTCGTAGAGGCCAATCCATAAATGACGTCACGCAAACTTAACCGATTTCCCCCCCCTACCCCCCCGTCACAAAAAAGTTAGACACCCCCCCCCCCAACACCCTCAACTGTAACATCACAAATCTCTACCCCCCCCCACCCTTAGATAAAAAATCCCTCTCTCCACTTCTGTCTTTTATAAACCCTTAAAATGTTCACCTCCCGAATTACTGCACCTGTGTCAGAAACATTTCCCTAAAACAATGGGTCTAAACGAGGGTGAAAGAGTGCGGAAGATGACTGAAACATAAATTTCATTTGCTGCCATTGCCATTACGAGTTCTTTCTGCCTGCAGTAACAAAAAAAAACCAAAAAAATTAAAAACCCGGCGGAATTTTGTTTGCGCATTACTTGGTATTGGTAATAGTTTTATTGTGCCTAGAAAGTTAATTTAAAACGATGCAAATAAATAAATTATTTAATTATTTTCATTAAAATTTTGGTTAAAGTGCAGTTCAGGTGCGTATATTATTTCTTAGGCGCATTTCGTATTTTAAAATTTTTTTATCATGTAAACTTACGTGCATTCTTTAATAATTAAATACAGGCAGTTATAGTTAAATAATTCTGGATTATAAGTCATATCTTTTCTTTTAATTTTACTTCTAGAGAGTCTTTAAACATCCCCCAACCAAAGTGTCACAGCCCCATTTGTTTGTATTTTTCTTTTTACGCTATGCCAGATTTTTAGCCACCTATAAGTATAAGTTAGTATGCTAAACGAAATTTTCAAACTAAGCATGATCACAAAAAAGAATGAAATACTAGATTCTTCATTACGCACAAGCGCCCCCAACCCCCAACTTTCTTTTTTTTTTTCCCCCTCTCAGAGAGCTCGGAATATAGGGGTTGTCCTTTGAAGTCGGGTCGGGGGGGGGGGGGGGGGGGGTGGGGGGAGAGATTAGATGTGGATCACTGACTAAGGGTGTGAACTGAGTGCATTCGTTTAGGAGAGGCGAAGCACTACCAGGGTCGAACTGGAAACGAGAGTCAACGCGAATCACCGGAAGAGTCTCATATTTCAATCTAGGAAACGGAGTGCACCCCTCTCGCGTTCCTCTCGCGTTCCTCTCTCCTAGATTGAAATATGAGACTCTTCCGGTGATTCGGAAACTGAGAGCAAAGGTCAAGCTGGGACCATCACGAAGCGGAGAGGAAAACGAATGCACTCAGTTCACACCCTAAGCAGTGGACACACACGTCATCATTGTCCTGGACCTGGTGTGAAGCTGATCACCCTGAAGGCTGCTAATACGCTGTCCGTGATTGGTCAGCTCTAATTTGAGCACTCCCTCCTCTTTTTTCGTATGCAAATGCGCTTATTACTGGTGACTGATTTGCGCTGAGTAAAGTGAGGGCTAGTGATTATTTTTTTTTTATATTATAAGACGGACTCGTTTTGGCTTTGCGGTATTGCTGGTTGTAGGATCATTTTGTTTAAAATGGCAGGACGACCAAGAAACAATAACTAAAATTGTTGATGCAACAGGCATTTTAAATGATGCAGCATTTGGTTTAAACGCGCACCTTGTGGGGCAACAAATAACGTTAATACAACTGTAATTTCTCCTATGGCGCTCGTAACAATTGCAATGTGGCTTGTAAGCTGGGTTCGTATGTCAAGTATGTGAGCTCCCCATAATTACCGGGATCTGCATATCACCCGAAACGGGATCTCACCCGAAACGGAATCTCACCCGAAACGGGATCTCACCGTAACCGGTATCCCGCCAGGATCGGTAGCCCACGGGATCGGGATCCCACCGGGATCAGGATCTCACTAGGATCAAAATCCTATCGGGATCAGAATCTCACCGAAACGGGATCCCACCGGATTGGGATCTCATTTAGTTTGGGATACCACCGGAAACGGATCTCACCGGGATCGGTATCTTACCGGGATCGGGATCCCACCATGACCAGGATTCTATCGGAATCACATCGGGTTCGGGATCCCATCATGATCCTTCCGGGTGCCATCGGAAAACGGGAAAAACGAAAGGTTTACATA